ATTATTATTATTATTATTATTATTGTTCATTCTCTTCAAGCTACATTACATTGGTGGTAGGATAATATTATTTATTCTCTTTGATCGCAACTTCTCGAGTCTGAGCACTTTAGCTTCTGACTTACATTGCAATGGTGGTAGGATAATATTATTTAAATTATTTAACTTAAGCTGCATTGCATTGACGTTTATCCCGGTACAAGCGGTTTAGCAGTTATAAGGCACACGGCGAAGAAGATCTTAGTTAAAGTTACATTCCCGAGTGGGGAGGATTTTTATCGAGTTTGTCTTCCTGTTGGGATGTTGTCTCCTCTCTCTCTCTCTCTCTCTCTCTCTCTCTCTCTCTCTCTCTCTCTCTCTCAGCAGGGTGCAAGCCCGACAAATAACTGGTCTAAATTGTGTTGATGGGGGCATAATAATACATCTATTGAAGAATTTTTAAAAATTAATTTGTAAGTTTTGCCACCAACTCAATTCGATATTTGAAAAGTGTCAGCAACTGATATCCCGGAAGTTCCGTTCGAGTTATGTATGATTTCAAGAAGATACATGATGTAGGTCTGTCATAATGGTAAAACCAGGAGCTCACCAAAATAATGGAATCGAAGAGATCGTTTTTTTTCTCACCTTTTGGGCACTTTTAATTTAATCGATTTCTATTTGTTCAACACCTTTTAGAAATCCTTTTAAATATACATTTGGTTTATTTGTGAGTGGAATTTGCTGGAAAAAAAGTTGACCAGAGTCACACCAAAAATATGTTTAAAAATGTAAAAGTTAATTGAAGTTTCAAAGAACACTCAAATTTTGGAAGTCGCCAAAATGGCTGCCATTTTAAATTTTTTTTTTCTTCTGACACCAGGCGACCCCTGTCTCCTTCATTCACAAATATCTCGACCTCTGTTCAATATGGATGGGTATTTTTTCATCAAACCAAGGCAGGTGAAAAGGCTTTTAGATGATAATACCAATAATTCAATATAAACAGTAAAGTTGTTCGCGCATCTGATCCGGACATTGGGGATTGCCTTGTTAATGAGACAACTTCCTGGGCCTTCGGCATATTGTGGTAAGGTGGCCAGTTCCTTTCCACGCCGCCTTTACTTCCCCAACTCGAAGTCAGGTACCCATTACTGCTGGGTGGGCAGAAGGGGACGAAAAAAAAATCCGTGTCCGAACCGGGGCTCGAACCCCGACTTTCCGCTTCGGAGACGAGCGCACTAACCGCTCCGCCACCGACCCCCAACTCTATATCTATGCCAAAAAAACTGACAAGCGCTTAAATTCATCGTGTCAAGATACAAATTCCTTACACTTACCATTGTCTGAAAACACCAAGTGGCTAGTTGGCGGGTGCTCTGGTGTGGTTTGCTCCTTCTTTCTATCAAATTTCTATCGCCCTTATCTCTCCTTCCCTTTTTTGTGTGTTGGTTACTCCCTTGTATCACCCCCTCACTTTTGGCATTTGTATGACCATATTGCGTTTCAAGTGACGAAAATTACTGAAACTAGACAAAAACACACTATCGTCATTAGAACCTTCATCACTGTCAATCTAACAAATGAATGTGGCTCTGCCGCTAGATCCTGAATCATTTCGGTGTGGATTGTTTCACTGCTACTGTCTGTTATCGTATCAAGTTAATTTTCCCTTCCTTTAATGTAAGGGAACCCCCCCCCCCCCACACACACACACAAACCCCAAAGAAAGACAATAAATAAACAAGTAAATAAATAATTAAATAAATTAGCAAATAAATTATTAAATAATTAAATACATAAAAGAAATAAATCAGAATAAAATTACAGTTTTTTTTTAAATTAAAAAAGTCAGTACTGTACAAGTTAGATCATTTAAGAGGAGGATTTCGACCCTCCCTGTGAAAACCAGCTTGGGATGAGAGAGATACGGAGCAACAACGTCCCTGTAGAAAGACGGATATACTCGAGATATATGTGAGACAAGTTGCCAAATATATAATAGGTATCGCGTTGGAATCAGGCGCTCGTCAAAATAATGACATCGAAGATACCAGCGTTTTTCACCTGTTTGGCAATTTAATCGAATTTCTTTTTTTTGGCTCAAATCTTTTACGCCCATTTAAAAACACATTTCTGTGTGGATTTTGCTGGAAAACATTGAATACAGGCACAGAAAAATGTAAATTTTCAGTTTCCAAGGGCTCTCAGGCTTTGGAAGTTATCAAACTTTGACAGCCATTTCCTCGCTAATTTTACCCCCAAAACAAGGTTATCCCCACCTCATTCAATGGCAAATGTCTCGACTTTTGTTCAATATACATGTATACATGCGTATTTTTTCATTGAAAAATGGACAAACAAACAAGCTTTAGGATGATACCAATAACTCAACATGTCCAAAAATTGGCGAGCGCCTGATTAAACCGCGTCATGACATATATATTGTACTCAGGTCCTCCGCGTTCGAAGGTGAATCGCGTAATCATCACACCACAGAACCAGTTTTAATTTTCTTCTTTTTCTTCTTTTTCTCCCCTCCTCAGGCACCTCCTGCAGAGTCCTCGCAAGCTAGCAAGCAAGCAAGCAAGCAAGCAAGCAAGCAAGCAAGCAGGCAGGAAACAAGTATTATAACCTAATACAGTACGTTTGGTCTCCTCTATAGATCCTGCTACTGTTTATTCGCCCATATGGATACGCCACCCACGGATAGCTCATCTTCCCCCCAGTTCCCTAACGTCAGAGACAGAGACGGGTGATTGGCGCTCATATGACCTTATGCAGTTGCGAGCGCCGTAAAACCTCTACTATAAAAAAGACAGGTGTTACCTGCAGGCGGTCTGAAAAGGTTTGGGACTTGGCGTGTCCTCTGCCGTCGATCTGGCGTCAGCACTTGCCATGCACGACCATCTCTCTCACCTGATGGTCCCCCCGTCCCCTCCCCAGTCACGTGACTACATGGCGGCTAGCTTCATGGGCCACCCTAAGCAGCAGTCGGAACATCTACAACAGCATCAGCAGCAGCAGCAGCAACAACAGCAGCAACAGCAACATCAGCAGCACCTCCACCACATGCATGGTCAGTACTTCCAACACCAGAGTTTTTCGCATCTTCCTCGTCGATGCGAGCAGCAATCGTCACTTCAGCAACAACAACAGCAGCAACAGCAACAACAGGAGCAACACCACCACCACCACCAACAACAACAGCATCGACAACATCAACAACACCAACAGCGACAGCATCACCAGCCACAGCCACAACAGCAGCAGCAGCAGCAGCAACAACAACAACCTCTGTCAGAAAAGACTTCCTACGAGGCCCCCTACTCCTACCAATCTTCGGCTCCCACCGTCCCTCCAATCCCCGCCTCCTCTGTATACGGCGAGGAAGAGTTCGAAGACGTCGATGATGACGATATTAGTGACTTCGACGAAGAAGAGCTCCGCCTCTCCTACGAGCAATACAGACAGAGCATCAGGCATCCGGACGTGACGTCACAGCTGCTCAACTTTGCAGACGTGGTCAGCGCCGACATAAAGAAGTTCTTCGGAAGGGCAAAAGACCAGGAGGATTCTTGTGATGTCTACGAAGATAAATGGGCAACCACGAAGTCTGGACGAGAGCTTTATTACGCGGATTTATTGAGAATAGCGCAAGGAGATTCAGAACCAGCCAGTAAAAGTAATAAAGAATCCTGCAAGGATATGATCTCCTCTTCCTCATCGCCTTCTTCGTCTTCATTATCTCCTCGAGAGGATTTGGATAACCGAACAAAGTTTAGTGGCAAGAGGAACGATACTATCGGAATGGGTCCATTGTCAGAACTTTTCGATTTTGGTTTGAAACATTTTTTACAGGACAGGAAACACCGAAACCCGAACGTATCTGGGAAGGCAAAGATTTCCACCCTCGGTCTAAACAGTTATTCAGAGGCCACCCGTTCAAGTTTGGTTCCCATGACCGAAAGGAAATTCCCGGAAAGCTTTTGGCGCGAGCCGGGAACAAACGTTCTTCATAGCTTGACGGAACCAAATCGCACCGATATTTCTCAGCTCACTGCTCTGACTGCCTCGAAACTTCCAGATTTCAGCGATCTAGTGGAGAGTTGGCAAGGTGGGGTTGAGGGTATGGAGTCTGTGAGTGTGGGTCATGAGAAGACAACTCGTCTGGAAATGTCGATGGATCATCACAGATTGTGACCACGAACGAGTCTATGACGTTTGTTGATGGAGGTGTGAGGGTGATTGTGTGTTGTCTGTGGGAGTTTTTGTGTATTACGTTTACTTATCTCCATCTCTCTCCTCCTTCTTTCTCTCTCTCCCCCCCCTCTCTCTCTTT